AATTAATTCACCTTTTTTAATGCTTTATGTGGTAGCATGAAACATCTGATAAGACGTTTTACTCTGAGAGACAATAATGTGTCTAGCAATAGTGTTTATAATATATTAGTTAATTTTTAGATTTTTTTTTTTCTAGTCTGTTGAGGGACACAGAAAGGCTTTAAAGTGGACCTTTACCCCCTTTCACTTAAAATCACATCAGCATGCAGCTGTGCATGCTGATTTTAAATCATATTACATTTATTAAACAAGTTTTTCATTTACTGTACTTACAAATAGAGTTTATCCACTTCCTGGTCCATTTTGGCATAAATGATGTAATGTGCTGAAGCATTGCATCCTGAGAAGGTTACATCAGCAGTGCATCGGTGGAAAAACGTATCTATAATTTCACATGATCTCAGGGAAAGGCATTTTCCTCCCATGAGATGATGTGCATGGTCACATGTCCTAGTCACATGTGCCAGAATTCAAGGAAGTAAAGGGAAAACTAGTAACCTGCCATTAGTTAAAATGGCCACTGTCAGAAGACTGGGGAAGAAAAGAGAAATAAGGTATGCAAAGAATGCAAAGAATACAAAGCCTGCAATTATCTAGAAGTATGTGTTTGTAGATTGTCATTACTAAACATTTCTAAAGGATTGCTTGTTGCTATTTTAAAGATATGGGTAAAGTTCCTCTTTAACCTTTTGTGTTATACTGCTGCCTACAGAAGGATGGGATATTGGCAAACAAAACTGTGGGCCAGCACAGGATAATACCTTCATCCACTAGAATGCCTGAGTTTATTTGCTAGTTTCCTAGGAGAATGGACGTTGTTTCTGCAGTTCTGTTGTGCTAAAGAATGACTTTGCTGACACCATTTTATTATTTTCCCTTCAATTAAGACTCATCTCTACATCGATTCTGGAGCTTTATCTCTTTGATTGCAGCTCTCTGGTGTGCTCCTATTTTGGCTCTTAATGTTGTTTTATCTGCTTGATAAGGATTTTGTGCAGAAGTGGTCTATTCTCACTGGATCCTACAGTGCCCCACATTAGCTTGGAACTTATCATTTCAATAGAGAACACGCCTGTCTTAAGGACCCAAACAATACGTGGTTGGAAGCCCTGTTCTCTATGGCGGTTCCTGCCCTTCTTCGAATTCTGACTGTAAGCTTACTTACAAGCCATGTCTGACTGGTCAAAATCCCTTAAAATGGATCTAATCACTGCTGTGTTCCATCCCTTGTTAATAAATTTCAGTTGTGACTGTTTGCTGGTGAACAGTCACAACTGTTTCAGTTGTGACTGTTTACTGACATATTTCAGTTGTGAAATATGTTTATATGCGTAGAGCACACTGGCTAAAGTGCTGAACTGTGGAACCCTTGTGTAAAAGCATTTGATCCGCATACCTTTGAGCAACAGTGTCTCTTCATACCAGCTCAATACATCAGTCTACCAAATACATGTAGTCTACCAAATCTATCATATCCTCCCTTCATCAGGGAGACTTTATGGCTTCTGTTGACATCAGAGATGCTTACCTACATGTCTGCATATTTCCAGTGCATCTGTGATTCTTAGTCTTTGCTGTGGGGCCCCTACAATTCCAGTTCTTAACCCTGGTCCTTAAGCCTCTGGTCTGCACCTTGAGTATTCACCAAGGTGCTGGCCCCAGTAATAGCCTTTCTGCCCACATGTGGGCTCCCCATTGTGGGATACTGTGTCATCTGCTGATGAGGGAACAGTTGTTGCAAGCTTTGTCAGACACCGTGACTTGACCGCTTAGACATTACAGCAATTCAGATGGATCACAATCCTTCTGAAATCATTGCTGGATCTGACTCATTGCTTGGGGTATTTGGGTCTACTCCTGGACACAGCTCAGGACAGAGTGTTCCTTTAACAAAAGACACTTCAGACAATCTGGTCTCAGATTCAAACTTTCCAGGCCAAGTTCCCATTGACTCTCCCCTTTTGTATGAAAATTCTAGGTCTGATATTAGCCTCTTTTGAGGGAGTTTTTCGCTCCAGACCTCTACAATGCAACATTCTGTTGTTGTAGGTGGTGCACATCAATTGTCAAGAAGCAACCACAAGTTTCAATGTGGAAAGAGAGGTAGATCAGATCCTGCCATGAGCAGAACTTCCCGTTCCATCCTTGTGTACATTTTAGGCTGTTGCAGACTAGGTCCTGACAGACAGGGGCATCTCTGAGTCTGTAATTCCTATGATACAAAATGCTAGGAATTCTGCTTCTCGCAAGGTGACATATAAGGCATACTTCGCTTGATGCGCGTCTTGGGGCTTCCACCTCTGGAGTTTCTCTGTGAGACAGATTCTCTATTTTCTTGCAGCTGGGTCTCTTATTCTGTAGCTGTATTTGGGCCCAGCACTATTAAGGGTCTAGTTTCTGCCCTTTCTATTCTGTTTTAGCACTTCAGAAACTGCCGATCGCACCCATTGGAGACTTCCCTTTCTCTTCTCTCACCCACAAGGCAGATTTCTTTGTATCATCCCCTGTGCGAGGTGCATATCTGAACTCATAGCCTTACCCTGCAAGGAACCCTTTCTGGTTTTGCATAGAGACATGGTGATGTTGAGGCCCAGGACTTCCTTCTTGCGTAATGTAGTTTCAGCCCCTCACCTCAATCAGGAGATTATTGTTTTTCCTTTCCATCTGCTGTTCACTAAAAGGAAATTTCCCTCTATTGTCCGTATGTGGTTTGGGCTATGAGAGTCTTTCAGCCACTGCTTCTTTCAGAAAGACTGATTTCCCTTTTTGTAATTCTGGACCGACCCCAAAATAATGCACTGCCTTCTTGTTCCATCATCTTTAGGTAGCTTAGGCAGACCATTATGGACTCAAGGTCAGCTTCCACCCTTGGCTGTTAAGGTGCACTGTACTAGATATGCGAGGTGCTTCTTGGCATCAAGCAACTTTTTCCCAGGTTTGCAAGGCTGCCACCTGGTCTTCTGTTCACTTGTGTTCTAAGTTCTTCCAGGAGGATGCTTCAGAGCCGGCTTTGGGTGTAAGGTCCTACAGATGGCTTTTTAAGCTGCAGACAGTCCCCAATTGCACGTTGTTTTCTTGGACCTGTTGGCATTTGCTTTTTTGCACCCCTTAGTTGAACTGCTTTTGGACATCCCAAAGTTTAAAGACTTAATGTGTCCCTTAATGGATGAGAGAGAAAATAGGATTATTGTACTCACAGTAAAATCCTGTTCTTGGAGTCCATTGAGGGACTTGGGTCCCACCCCCCTGTGTTTATGATCATACTCTTAAGTACTGCTTTACTACAAAGCTGGGGCATGCTGGTAGTAGGAGGGGTTATCCTGGGCTGGCCTACAGTTTGTTTGCCATTGTGCAATCCTCATGCAGGCAGCAGTATGGCATATGAAGGTTAGGCTTCCTGTTTCCCTCAATGGACTCCAAGAAAAGGATTTTACAGTGAGTAGAATAAACTTATTTTACATTTAAAAAGCATGGCTGATTTTGACGTGTTTTATCTTAGGTGCGGAATTATAATAGACTGACCCCCCTTAAGATTCTGGATCATGCTCTTGGATCCTTGGATAACCTGCGCCCTGGGGACTGTATAGTCTGCTTCAATAAAAATGACATCTACTCTGTAAGCCGGCAGATTGAGGCTCGAGGCTTAGAATGTGCTGTGATATATGGAAGTTTACCTCCAGGTGAATATCATTTTCATGTATTGTCTTCTAGACTGCAACATGTTTAACATCTCTTATATTACCTTGGTCTTTGTACTACATTTATGTAACCATTAAATCGGTTTCCTACCTGCAAATGTTCTGCAAGGCAATGAATGAAAAGAGCTTGCTATTTAGAGGGCAGATCAGAGACGATGACCTCAGCAGTGACCTTCTGCTTATTCAGTATCCCTGTTGGCCAAGCTCTGTTGTTTTGACTTTTTTGTGGGAAATATGGGTCAGGTGAATAAATCATTTATAATTTTTTTGGGGAGGAGGCACACCTATGTACAGGTAGTCCCCGGGTTACGGACGTCCGACTTGAGGACAATCCGGACTTGCGAACCGGGGTCCACAGTTCTCCTAAATGTACCGGTATGACAGAACTGTGGCTGCAGCGGCTTTGTGTCCCTTCAAATCCGCGCTGCTCTCCTCGCCTGTGTTGAAGCTATACCCAGCCTGTTGTTGGATATTGTAAAATGCAATAGCAAGCTGGTTATTGCACCCGCCCACTGCCTGCTATCAATCAGCATGGGAGGACCTGATAGAGAACTTTACCCTTCAGGGACCTCCTCTGCTGATTGACAGTGGGCATGTGCAATAGCCAGTCTGCTATTGACTATTTCAATTTGAAATAGCCAATAGCAGGCTGGCTATTGCTCAGAGCATTAAAATTAAAAAAAGTTTAAAAAAATAAAATTTAAAAAACGAAAAAATTTAAAAAAAGGTTAAATAAATTAAAAAATAGTAAAAAAAACTTTTTTATTATATTATAATCTTCTGAACAACAGGAACAGACAGCAAAACAAACGTGACCCTTCCCCCTATGCTATCCAAAACTAAAAAATGTTTTTTTGGCTGGAGTTACACTTAAAAAATGTACCTGTTCCAACTTGCATACAAATTCCACTTAAGTACAAACCTACAGTCCCCATCTTGTATGTAACCCGGGGACTGCCTGTATTTCAGCTGTCCTATTTAGTGGTTTTTCTCCATTTTCACTATATCACCACATTAGCAGGACATGCAAGAACAGGCCAGGAACAGAAAACTGTTGCTGGTGACTTGAAAAACAAAAAGAGGTTCGCCTGTGTGTGCTGCTTCGGTCGGGGTAGACAGATCAAATTCATGTTCCTACCCATTCTTTGTAGAGGCCTTTGCCCATCTATGGATAACCTCATCTGTAGGGAGCAAACTGATATCTTGGCTCATCCATTAAGATGCAATACCATGTTCTATTCTTTACTGCATCAATATACAAAGGTCCCCTTATTATTAAAGAGTTAGATGTCACCTCAATGTTTATTTACAAGAGGAGAGTTCAATGTAAAAGTTTTCATTGCATGGAAAATGTCCAAGATTACAAAAAAAATCAGTTACCTGGAAATGTCTGTCCCAATATATTGCAGATAATAGAGCCAGGTACACATGATTTGCAGTTGGTATCGTAACAAAAACTCAATTAGTATAACTGAAGTGTCAAAATTTTAAAGCAAATATTTGTAGGACTTGTATGTACATGCCATTATATAATCATGCTTTTTTTTTTTAGCATGTTGATGTATTGTGCGCTATGTCCTGTGCTAAATACACTTTTTGTATATGTTTTTCAGGAACAAAAATTGCACAAGCAAGTAAATTCAATGATCCAAATGACTCGTGTAAAATTTTGGTTGCCACAGATGCCATTGGAATGGGGCTAAATTTGTGAGTATAAGTCTTATTGTGTATACGGTGTTGTGTTCACAGTCTGATTTGAATATTTCATTGTTTATTGTAAGAGAATGTTTTAGGAGGTCTGGGCACAGTTTATTTCTAGACTAGAATCAAATGCAGCTTAGGCATAATATGGGCTGGGAGGGATGTTATCTGGCACACCTATAATGAACATTCTAACCTAGGACCTCTCTGTCCAGCACGTAATATACTAAGCCAGTGTTTAGGCCTCTGAAAGTTCTTGCTTCAACTATTGCTTAAATCACACAGTTACCGGTACTGATGCTGCAGTCCAAAGAAACGGGCTGTATATCCAACTGTAATAAGAGGTGCCCTTTTCAGGCCTGGGGCAACATGGTGAAAGATATTGTTGCATACAGAAGCCAGATAATCTTAGGCATACACATGGTAGGTCAGAGGTATCGTGATGAAGACATTTAGAAATGGAATGCAAGGGTTGTATTTACAGAGTAGTAGGAGGAGATGGCTTTAGTTAGCATTTAGGGTAAAGGCAGTGTCATCCTAAATTGCACAGGTGATTGATTGGCTTTCAATAGAATTACTGACTTTACGCTGTTGTCTTTAATCATTACCCAAACATAAGGAAGAGGATACAGTTGTTAATTGTGTAGTTCCCCTGTATGATTCTCAGCTACTTCTGCTCTTTTGCTGAAAAATAGAACAAGATAGGCAAACTTTTTAAGTACATTATGCTTGTGTGTCTGTGGTGACTAATGCTGATTTTGTGGCCTTAATTGTATTTCCACCTATACATGCAAGTGCTACATGGAAGCACTTGCACACTTACCACATTCTACACATAAGTGTTGTATGGCACTTAACTGATGGTCATGTGGCTTTTGATTAGAGCATGGTTGGCCAGGTTGTGAATATACCTAATTAGACCTCTTGTGTCCATTCGTCAAGATTCTTCATTCTGGCAGAGACCACTGTTCAGTCTAGAAAAATTGCCCATCCTGCCCCTTTGACTTTTTTCGTCACTTCGGTCGAAATTGAAGGTTGATTTGACCCCCATCAACTAATAGAAAGTGGAATAAAAGATCTTTCGTACGAAAGTTCTTTTAAAAATCTACTAGTCTATGGCCACCTTAAGGGGTATACAATGGTAAGATGTACAGATTGATACATGAAGGCAGTTAATAGTGCTACTTCATTTTAGTGTTTTTCTTTTTTCCCCTGAACATTTTTTAGGAGTATTAAAAGGATCATATTCAATTCCTTGATTAAACCAACAATGAACGAGAAAGGAGAGAAAGAGATGAACACAATCTCCACTTCCCAGGCTCTGCAGATAGGCGGCCGAGCTGGCAGGTTCAGCTCCATTTATAAGGATGGAGAAGTCACCGCCATGTTCCAGGATGATCTAGTACTCCTAAAAGATATCCTCAGCAAGACAGTCACTGATATCCAGGTAAGGCGTTTCATTTTGATAACACGTGTTTTGTCAGATAATTTGTAATAAATACAGGCAGTCCCCGAGTTACCAACATCCGACTTACATCTGACTCCTACTTACAAACAGAGGCTATTACTGTAGAGCAGGGGTAGTTGTAATGCTACCATGCTCATGCCGACAAGGAGTGCCCTCCTTTTTGGGTCTGGTTTGTAGTGCTGTACGTACATTACAGGAAACTGGCTCTTGTTAGACGTGCAGACGAGGGGTGCCCACCTTTTCCAGGTCACTGTGAGGTTTTTACTGCTGTCTGTATTCTCATTAGAAAGATTTAATCTCACTTCCTGTCCTTGGGGCAACCAGAAGTGAGATGAAATCTACCCCTAGGAAGGGAAATTTACTCCTGTAAGAGTTCTCATGGGAAAAAGGTGTCTCCACTGAAGCTAAACCCCAATTTTTCAAAATCCAATTGTCACAGGGACAGAAAGTGAGGTGAAATCTTCTGAACAGGGGCACACACAGCAAAACAAACGTTACAGGGGGTTAACCCTTCCCTATGCTATCCAAAACTAAAAACATTTTTTTTGGGTGGAGTTACGCTTAAAAAATGTACCTCTTTCAACTAACATACAAATTCAACTTCTGAACAAACCTACAGACCCCATCTAGTTCATAACCCGGGGACTGCCTGTACGCCTGTAACCAGTCTGCTGTTTTATCCACTTGAGTCCCGGGTGCCATGGTAAAATGGCACTGGGTTTCCACTTATTTGTCCCATCTCGGTTGTTCTGGAGGGTCCCAGCAAGGTTTATTTCTGGAAGCAACAGCTGTCAGCGGCAGTCCAGGAGTTCAGAATGGGTACTGGAGAGGAGCTTGAAATGCCAATAATCAGTGGTGCAAACTGGGGTAACCACAATCAGAATTCGGAAAGGAAAGCCATAGTATGAAGAATGCCAAACAAGTCCAATGTCATTATTTATCACATGATTAGAAAAACCCAGCAAATGTGTTTTTGTGAATCTAAACAACCCCCCTTCACCGGGACTACATGAATGAAAAAGCTGTCAAGGAGTGATCTGTTTAGAGTAGGTGAAGCATGGAGGTAGACAGAATAGTTTTATATATAAAGGACACCAAAACATTTAGAATGTACTGACACTGTATTTTGTGGCAATGAGTTCTAACATACCTAAATCATGTTATTGATGGTTTATTTCTGTATATTTATTAGACACTAATGACTCCATGTATATTATATAATTGCTTTATTAAAATCTTTTAAACATGATTTTATTTTTAAACATAAAAATATATATTTTTTTAATTAACCCTTAAAGTGCTCGCTTTGGTCTAGGAGTGAAAATAAAGACCATATACTTGCCTGATCATCAGTCCTGCCGTACTCACTGACTCTCTTCCCGCTTTCGCTCCGCCTGTGGTATGTCTCTCGGCATCCTCGCATCTAATGGACCTGCATTAGACGTGATAACGTCATAGGTCCTTAGACCACTGGAGCCCAGGGGAGAAGAGTCTGTGGGGACTGGTCTAGCAGCCAGGCAGGACTGAGGATCAGTTGAGTATATCTTCTTTAGTTTCATCCCTAGACCAAAACGAGCACTTAACCGAGGTGCTGGGGTAGTGCAATTGCAAGGGTTAACTTTAATAAATCCTCGCGTTCTTCTTTAACACCTTTTTTTTTAAATTGTACCCCCCCCAAACGTGTTGGCTTTTTTTTTTTTTTTCATGCAGTGATTAAAGTTTCTTTGGATCACTATGAGGTTTGGCACTCTTTATGCTGTCTTTTTTCACCCAGCCCAGGAGTTCAGCACGTCCCCATCTAGACTTGTGATTTACACATACCAGGTTCGCTCACCTCTCGATCCTATCACGGCTCTCTGCCGTGACAGGGGGAGGGGCTGGATTCCCCTCTCCCCGCTCCGATCTGCCAGCGCTGACTGGCGGAACGGACGGGGGAGGGGGCGGGTACAGCTGGCTCTGCCTCTAGATAGGCAGAGCCAGCTGTCACTCACGCAGCTGGGTGGATCCCGCCATCTACGTCGGGATCCGCTCCGGCTGCGGTGTCTCAGTATACCGCAAGCTGTAGCTCGCGATATACTGAGCTTTGGGTAACGGGAGGACGCTAGTTTGTGTCCTCCCGTTAGGCTAAGGAGAACTATGGGGAAAAACACTGACCCCATAGTTCTCCTTTTAATAAAGCCGGCCATACACTGTTATATTTTGTTCGTTCAACCTGCGGGCTGAACAAAAAAAATTCTATGACTGCTTTGATCGAGGAATCCCCGCTGTTTCTTTTGTATTCTGACAGCCGCCGCTGTCAGAAGAACTGAACAGAGCTGGCAGCTCATTGCCTGCCGGCTCTGTTCATGCAAAGATTTTCCAACCGTCTCCTTCGATCCTAGCCTAAAGGGTTCCAATAGCGGCACCCACTGTGTGAATTTTGGCCGGTTCATTAAGAACTGGCCTAAATTCTCAGTGTATGGCTACCTTAGGAGTGTTCTGTAGCAGCACATTACAACAAAATGCTTCTGCATTTCTACAAAGGTTCTAAGCTCTAGATCTTTTTCTCTCAAAAAATGTAAAAAACATTATGGTGGACTGCAAATTCTGAAATCGTCACCTGCTCGGGACCAAAAAAAAGTGCTCTGGGATTCAGAAACCCTGTCTCCAGACCATTTATTTCAACAACAATCTTCCCATAAGATTATATGTGCATTTAATCGAATTTAGGCATGTTCTTTATATGTAAAACCCTCCCTTATGTAGATATCCAAAAGCCCTCGGACTTCTGCTGGGTGCCGTCATCTTGGATGTGATGTTTGCAGTCCCAGCAAACACTCTATAGTATTCCCTTCACTCCTTCCTGGCTGCTACATAAAAGGTCATGCAGGGATGGGAGGGGCACCGTAGCCAGGCCAGCAAAAAAAGTAATAAGACACTCCCAGAATAGCAAGGAGTGTACCCCAACATCACTACTGTGCCCTGTAATGATGCATGTCACAGGTATGCATTATAGTGTGCATTATCCCTCATCTTGTACAGTTTAATAATATTTTTTTTATATCCTCCAGGCTGCTGGACTACACCCCACTGCTGAACAGATAGAGATGTTTGCTTATCACCTGCCTGACGCCACTCTGTCAAATCTTATAGTGAGTATCTCTGGAATTAGGATTTTCAAGCCATGTCTATGTAATGTCAGAGGGCTGTGGCTTAGATGGTCCTACATGTGAGGTGGCTATCATACAATATTTGTATAAAATTTTTACCTTATATGGTGTAGCAATGTATACATCGTGCATCATGCTTAGCTATCTTTTTTGTTTTGTTTGCAGAATAGCATTTACAATCTCCCTTCATGTCTCTTTTTCTTGTAGGACATCTTTGTAAGTCTGTCTCAGGTTGATGGACTTTATTTTGTGTGTAATATTGAGGACTTCAAATATGTAGCTGACATGATCCAGCACATACCATTAAACCTAAGGGCACGATATGTGTTCTGCACTGCTCCAATAAATCGCAATCTGCCCTTTGTGTGCACTTCGCTGCTAAAGGTGAGTGGGCTCCTTCAAAAATGGCACATGTCCCTCACTGTTCATATCTTAGTTCACCTGCTTTTGAAGTTTGAGCATGATTTTGTAAATCTGCATGATTGAAGTGTGTCCAAGTTGCTTTTTGAAAAGGAGATTGCGATTTTGTAACCTGCGCTAGTGTAAGACTGTAACCTATTTGGTTGCTACAGATGATATATACAGAGTTCTTCTAAAGCTGAAATCAAGCCGTACCTTCCATCTTTCACAGTTGTACAGGCTCCTCTTCTGTATTGAAAATGCTTGCACTGATTTTACGGCACACTTTAAGTTTTTCAGTGTGCGTTAGAAGCCTTTTCCTCCCCAGCCGGACTGTCTCTCCCCTTTTTATTTTAGGGCTGCGGAAATTAACGATTAATCCCTCGATTAATCGTTAATTTTTTTGATCGATTAAAATTATTTTGATCGATCAAAGTTCTTTGGCTCCGTACTCACCTCTCCACCGGCTTCCGGGTCTTCCGTCAGAGATCCGGTGACGTCACGGACATCGACGTCACCGGACTCCTCCCCCCTTCCACAAGTGGCTCTGTCGGCTAACGAAGGGAAGGGGGAGGAGTCCGGTGATGTCGATGTCCGTGACGTCACTGGACTCCTCCCCCTTCCCTTCGTCACCTGATGGAGCTACTTGGGCCGTTGAGTACACATCCTAACTCTCCCGGCCGCCCGGGAGAGACACACCTTTTTACCGGAAAGGTTTAACCTGAAATAAGCAATTTCAGGGAGGTGTCCCTCTCATTTCAGGGAGGTGCCCTGTCCCCCCCATCCGCGGAGAGGGGGTTAGGGGGGGCTGGGAGCTATTGCAAAGTGAAATAGCCAATAGGAATCTAGCTATGCATTCGTATACCTTTTCTTTTCTGACTGACGGTCGGGCCGCGGCTCCCGATGTCAGAAAAGGAAAAAAAAAAAAACGATCCCAGGGAAAGGTTTAATCTGCTCGATTGAGCAGATTAAACCTTTCCGGTAAAAAGGTGTGTATCTCCCGGGAGTGGGGCACGTGAGATTAATAACGTGCTGGATTAGTGTGATCCTAGTTCATTTTATTACTTTATTGCCGTGCTGTATGTGTATAGGCCAATGTAGTTGGATTTGTATGTGTGTTATAATTAATCGAAATTAATCGATTAAAAAAAAATTAGATTAATCGAACAGGACATTTTTAATTATTACCAGCCCTATTTTATTTATCAGTTATTTCAGTCGTGCAGGCTCAGCAGCACTTGTGGGCATTACCTAGGGCAGTCTGCTTGCAAATGCAGCCTGACTAGGAACACCTAGTTCTCCAGGCTGATATCCCACCCATCAAGGCATTTTGATATTTGCATAACTCCTCCAAAGAGCCAGCCCACTGCTTGCATCAGGGCTGAGGACTTTTGGGAGGAAGCTATATAAAATATGCAATGAAAATAGAAAGGTTTGATTTTGGTTTTTTTTTGTTTTGGTTTTTATTTGTTTGCATTTTGATGAAGGGGAGCAGAGGAACCAGGCAAGGCAAACTATAAGCAGATTAAACTTTAGCTTCAACTTCAGACATTTTAAACCCCCATAGTGCACTTTTCTTACTGTAAGAATGAACTTTTGAAACATGACTCCATTCTGTCTCATACAGAAATTATTCTTCCAGGTAGCCCAGCCAGGTTTTTGGATCCAGCAACTTAGAACACTGGTCTCTGACAGCATCATAGATGTGTTCAGCTTGACTTGGACTAGCCACAGACAGGAAGCTTTCAAGCAAAGACTAACAGGCTGTCAGACCGCTGCCTGTCTTTGGTCACGTCACCGTGCCCCCCAAGACTCACCTAGGTTTTTTTCCATAACTTGACCAATAGTTAAAGAAGGTGCTTCATAGAAAAAGGTTGTGTTGAGGAGCATTACCAACGTGTGGAAGCACTAATATCACCCTACAGAAATTCAGTTGACCTAAACAGGAACTTATTATTTGAAACAATACTTGAATGATTTTAATCACTTTCAGCAGTTGGGTTGTATAGGGCCACCCAAACAGCACAGTGTGGCAGTGTAGCAGTGAGGGTTGTATAGGAAGGGGATTCTGCATGTTTCAGCAGAGTTTCCTTGTGATTACTTTTTGTAGTACACAGGAATTTCAACACGCAGTAATGCACCACATCTAAAATACCAGCTGCAAATGTATTTTCTAATGGTGTCATTATAATACTTTTTATTTTCTTATGCTTTTTTAGTTCGCTCGACAGTTCAGCAGGAACGAGCCTCTGACTTTTCTATGGATCTCTAAACATGTGTCCTGGCCTGTTAGCGCTCCAAAAACCATAAAGGATCTAATGCATCTAGAAGCTGTTCATGATATCTTGGATCTCTATTTGTGGTTAAGGTGAGTTCCCTCACAGTTACACCATCAGAGTTGGGATTAACAAACCCAAGAGAAATGGGGGGGATCATCATACTTTCTACTATTGGTTCGATGCTGCTGACGCCTAATGAGAGTGTTAATGTCTGCAGCCTGGAGTCATGTTGCCCTCTGCTCTTGGAGTCTATTCAGTCCTTAGGTTCCTGTTTAGCTCCACTGGGTGTGGATGGGTCTTTTGCCCTTTCTGCTGAGGTCTCGAGCACTCCTGCACCCTCTCCAGCAGTTTCAGAAGAACATCCCTACCAGCTTTTGAGCCATCAGCCTCAGCGATGGTCTGATTCTTTCTTTTTTTTTTATCAGATCAATTTTGTTTAAAAAAACAAAGCTTTTCCATTTTTCTCAGTCTTCCAACAACAGCATTTTTACAGCAATGAATTAGAAAAACAAAAGACATAATGCGATTTACATTTGTCATGTCCACCTTGACAAGATATGAGGTAGGATGTATCTACAACAGAACATATTGCTGAGTAAAATGAGTCAGCAGCAGCAACATGTAACAACTAGGGATGCACCGAAATAGAATTTTGAGACCGAAACTGAAAATAAAAAATTTGTCAGGTCAAAACTGAAACTGACAGTTTTTTTTCCCCCAACCTGTTAAAAAAAAATTAAGTTATTTTTTAATTATTCTACATTTATTTTTATTCTTTTTACTTTAGTGCTGGGGGGCTCTAAACAGACCCCTGATATTTCCCTTTAGAGGACAATCTCTTTTTCTGCAGCCCCTGTTATGAATGAACAGGAAGTCTCTATACTGCGTGTTCCTGTTCATTCATAAACTGTGGAGATTGTGTAAGTTACTATGACCACAATCATGAATGAACAGGAGGTGATGTAGATCACTTCCCATTTATTCATAACTGGGACACAGTAAGCAATATGTGCTCAGTTATTTACAAACACTCAGCGGCCAGCTGATCAATGAGTGTATACCGCTCTCCAACATGAATCGGCTGTCGCAGTATGCAAATCGGGTGGTTGGGAGAGGAGAGCTCTACTTACTGTGACAGATCACAGAACTCTCCTGCACTCACCACTTTTTATCAAGACACAGGAGGTGCGAGAGAAAAGCCCTATGTAATAATGACTTAAGGAAAGCCGTGCTGCTCAGCATTGTGACAGCTGTCACCGCCCGCCCTGCCTCCTGAAAGCTTCTCTCCTCCCCACTGAACGCACATAAGGCACACAGACTGGCGCCCAGTAAGGAGGGGAGAAGCTAAAAATGCACTGAATTTTCAGCTGCATTTTCAGCCGTTATGGTACTTTCGGCAATTTGCCAAAAGTGACATTTTTGGGCCAAAATGTTTCAATGGAAGAGATTTCTGTGCATCCTTAGTAATAACGTTAGCATACACAATAATTGCAGCACATTTTTTGGGATGGTATACAAGATGATTGAGGGGTAATCGACGATGGAAAACGTTGACAACGTTTTCCATCGTCGATTTTAATCGACTTAATCGAATAACTGTTTCAGCTCTAGGTGTATACCTGTAGGAGAAACTTCAGATTCTCCTTTCTCAGATTTGAACTCTCCAGTCGCTGTTGCATGAGTGTCCTAGCCTCCTCTTGAGGCAGTTCCATTTGCCCAGTTTCAACTTCAGACATGAGTATCCTAACATTCTGTTGTTGTGGGAGAAGTCGATACGGCCTCTGGAAAGACCAATTTGTTTTTTTGACAAGGACCAAGTTGTCCCTGGATTTGTTCACTCAGGAATCCAGCTCTGGAGTCAGGACTCCTTCCTTCCCAGCTTTTGGAGGACCCTCACAATGAATGCCAGCCTGTTGGGCTGGGAGAAGTGCTTGGCACCTTGTTGGTACAGTGGACTTGGTGGTCAGGGGCTCCTCTCCCAGTTAACATCCTGGAACTTCAGACAATTTGGCTGTCTCTGGAGGGTTGGGCCATGCTTTTGGAGAGACTTCCAAACTGGTTCCAGTTGGACAAAGCCACAGTGGTGGCATACATCAATCAGAAGTCTCGCTGTGGCAAGAGAGGTATATCAGACTTGTCGGCCATGTACAGAACTGTGCAAAAGATTTAGGCAGGTGTGAAAAAATGCTGTAAAGTAAGAATGCTTTCAGAAATAAAAGTGTTAATAGTTTATTTTTATCAATTAAGAAAATGGGAAGTAAATGAACAGAAGAGAAATCCAAATCAATCAATATTTGGTGTGACCACCCTTTGCCTTCAAAACAGCATAAATTCTTCTAGGTACACTTGCACACAGTTTTTGAAGGCACTCGGCAGGTAGGTTGTTTCAAACATCTTGGAGAACTAAGCACAGATCTTCTGTGGATGTTGGCTGCCTCAAATGCTTCTGTCTCTTCATGTAATCCCAAACAGACTCGATGTTGAGATCAGGGCTCTGTGGGGGCCAAACCATCACTTCCAGGACTCCTTGTTCTTCATGCTGAAAATAGTTCTTAATGACATTGGCTGTATGTTTGGGGTTTTTGTCCTGCTGCAGAATAACCATCTCTGATGGTTGGCATGATGGATAAGTATCTGCTTCCATTTCTCTCTGAGAGTTTGAGTACTACGATCCTCGAGGTTCTACTTCCTGCATGATTTATCATCAGACATGGAAGGCATACTTCACTTGGCGTGAGTCTTTGGGCTTCCATCCCAGGAGTTTCTCTGTTAGTCAAATGCTCGCCTTCCTGAAACTGGGTCTGGACCAGCATCTGGCTCCCAGCACTATCAACACATCAGGTTGCTGCCTTTTCTATCCTGTTTCAGAGACCCTAGGCCTCTCACGCATTGATTAAGACATTTGTATAGCGAGTTCTCCCATGTAGCTCCCTGGGTTCCCCAGTAGCTCTGTGGGACCTGAATCTGGTTTTCTTTGCGCTTCGGAAACCACCTTTTGGACCCATCAGAGACATTCCTTTCTCTACTCTCACCCACAAGGGTTTTTTTTTTTTAATGTAGCCTTCACCTCTGCAAGTCAAGTGTCTGAACCGGTGGCTTTATACTCCAAGGAACCCTTTATGGTTTTGTACAAGGTAGTGTTGAGGGCAAGCACTTCCTTCTTGCCTAATGCAGTTTTTGCTTTCACCTCAACTAGTACATTGTTGTTCTGTCTCACTGTTCAGCTCCATTTCACCAAAAAGAAAATTTCCTCCATTATTTGTTTGGATGTGGTCTCTGCCACTGCTTCTTTCAGAAAGACAATATTTGTTTTTGTTATCCCTGATGAACCCCTGAAGGGTGCACTAGCTCCTTGATTCTCTGCAGATGGAGACAGACCATCATTCAAGTCTTACACCCTTGCCTTTCAAGGTCTCCAGTTCTCTGTTGTTTTTTTTTCTTGCACCTGGCTGTTTGCTGTGTTGCCCACCTCACAGTTGGAATGCTTTTAGATATCCCATGAGAAAAACTTCCTGTACCCCTTAATGGTCAAGAAAAAATATAGGATTTGTACTGACTGTAAAAAATTATTTTCTTAGAGTTGACCGAGGGATACACGTCCCAACCTCTTGTGTTTTTGATCATTCTCTTGGTACTGCTTTTCTACAAAACTGTGGCATGGTCGTAGTAGGAGGGGTTATCGTGTGCTGGTAGTTTTTTTTCTTTTTTTTGCCAGTGAGCTGTGGCAGGAGCATGGAAAGGTGAGTGAGTATATGTTGCTGGGGTGAGGGTACTTTAGTGTACCTTTTACTTTACTGTGAATAGCAAAGGAAACTTAAAGGAGACACTGACAGCTTGCCCATGCAGGACAGAGGCACTGTAAAGGCCGTCTCCTCATCCAGTTATATTTACGTTGCCAACTCTCTCCCACCACTCCTTCCTCCATTGCAGCCAGCATCACTGCCAAACATTTCTTAGTATATAAAAGCATTTTACCTCCTCCCCTCTGACAGTGACAGTTCTAACAGCCAAACTCTGGGCCTAAGCACTGAGGGATTGACATTTATTGCTCTCCCTGATCACCAGCCCTCGTGTCAGAATGATTATTCTAAGTTCAAAAGTTTTCCTGAATGGTTTTTAAATTCCTCTCTATTTTTTTATTTTTTTTTAAGTAATCCAAGTACAAATGCTCATGTTGATGGAGAATATTGTATTGTTAGGATAATGGGGTAAATATAAAAAAAAATATGAGGCATTGCTAATATTGCATACAGGATTCCTATCGTGTTGTGCTTTTTTGGGGGGGCGAGGGTGGGGGATAAAAAGCAAAAAAGAAACACTCAATAATAACAATATACAACAGTTCTGTGCGGTAGTAGTTTTGTATATGCATCCGCAAAACGATTAAAGCAGTTCACAGATGTAATCATGACATCCAGGGAGCTAGCATTGGACATGTCAGCAGTAGTTTCCACGTTCTGCCTGTACCGTTTTTCTGAACCAATAAATTTATGTCTATTAAAGAGTGATATAATTGTGATAAATTATACCTGGAAGTGTGCAGTAGTTAGGTTTCTTATTATTTGTATGTCTGTGTAGATAATGTTACATCCCTGGTTGTACTTGTAGTAGTAGTAGTAGTAGTAGTAGTAGTAGTAGTAGTAGTAGTAGTAGTAGTAAAAATAATAATAACACCGCTACATAACCTTGCAATCCTGGAAATTTGTTGATCTTTAATGTTTGATTTCATACTTTTACCATGTAACATTGTTATTCTTTCCCCCCCACTTTACTAGTTACCGGTTTCTGGATATGTTTCCACATGCTACTATGGTAAGATCCATACAAAAACAGCTGGATGAAATTATTCAGAAAGGCGTTTATAACATTACTAACCTCATCAGAGCATCAGAAGCTGTGATGGCGGGCACTGTACCACCGAATGAGACAAGTCTAAACGTCACTCCAAGAACTGGACTAAGGAGAGACAGGGGAGGTAGGCACACTCTATTAGGCTCAGAAATACAGAGTGGGCCCCTCACCTCCAGGTTAGTTAAGGACGGACTCCTTACACCAAGCATGCTGAAACAGCTTGAACAAGAATGGTTGAATCGCCAGAACGGCCATGGAAACCCTAATGGAGGAACATCCTATGATACTGACATATTATTTAAAACGACAAGAAAAAAGAAATAGTGCTCGTTAAACACATTTTTTATTTTTTTATCCAGTGAAATAAAAGACTGTATATCAAAGCCTTGCAGGATTTTTTTATAACATGATCATCAAGTAACCTCATGTTTCACTATGACTTTAAATTCTACATCTGTCTGTCTTTAAAAATGTTTTTCTAATTGTTTTGTTCTTAATTATTAAAGCAATATTCTTTGTACATAATGATGCATGTGAGGATGAAGGCCAAAAATACACCCGGAATGGATTGATCACCATTTAAAAAAAAAAAAAGAAAAGTGCAAATTCCCATCAATGTGGGAGTCGCACTGTTGCTGGGAACTGACCCTGTTGGTCATCTGCTGCTCTGCATTTTTGGCTACAAGTATCAGAGCATACGACCATCGCAAGACAAAAGTCTTGCGATGGTCGTAAGGTGTATGGGCACCTTTTAGATGTCTTGATTTTTAAAGAAGAATTCCTGTTTCTTTCTTCATGCCTGTAAAAGTGTGGGGAAGGAGTCGCCAAACTCTGGTCCTTCAGCTGTGGTGCATTTACAATTTCCATAAGGCATTGCAAGTCTCTGACAGCCACAGGCATGACTCCCAGAGACAGATCGATGATGGGATTTGTAGTATCACCACAACTGGAGGGCTGTAGTTTGCCTACCCCTGGTGTAGGCCATGCTGTCTACCTTTTTTATGTCTTCACTTTAAAGATTATTCCTTTCCCCCCAGCAAGACCCTGAGCCATTTTCAGCCTAAATAGTCTGCCACTTCCCGCTGCATTTCACTAATTTTCACCCAGCTTCCTCCCCTGCAGCGTGGCTGACAAGTTTACACAAGTTCATGCCTACTCTTAGAGCAACACATGTTATATAGGGATAAAGGAGCTAAAGTCTCAGCAGAAGAAAAGGTTGCATAGTAGTGATAAGGAGTATGATGCCCCCCATTCGAGGTCTGATCCTGTGTATAGTGAGAGAGGCTTGAACAGTTTATGTGACTGCTAAAATTAAGGTATGCAGCCAAAAAACTTTAGGCCCCATTCATACTGAGCGGTTTATCATGTGATTTCCTCCGCGAAATCGCGCATATTTCCGCGCGATATCGCTCTATGTAGCTTGTCCAATTCATTCCAATGGAGCTGTTCACAGCTCAATGCCGCCTGTAGCTCGTCGCTGAAGCTTGTCGCTTGTACATGACCCTTTTTTCGGCGGATGTTGCGCGATTCGGCCCCAAATAGACTCAATGGTGTCGCGCGAAATTGCGCATTATCGGGGATATTGCGTGACAGAAGGGTCACTTTTGCACTGCAAAATGTAAGGAAAGAATGATGTCACATCGCTGTTTGGTTACAGCCCAATGTAGCAGCGACGAAGTCCCGCCCAAAAAACGCGTTATGTAAAATGTGCATTGTCGCTCAATATCGCGCAATGTAGCTCAAAGCCGTTCAGCACGAAATTGCGCAGAAAAACATGCAATGTCCATGTCGCTCAGTGTGAATGGGGCCTTAGATAGGGGAATGTCTGCACCGCAAGGACAGAACAGGATGGTGCCATTGTTTTGGAAATTGGAGTTCAGCTTTTAGGTGTTTTTAGTACCAAGCAGCATTGTCACTGAAGTGCATCTAAAGTTTTATTTTGGCTTGGACAAAAGAAATAATGTTTTAAAGTATATGTGCACTTTAATCCTAAATTCACCCAGTCCCCCTCCGTAGGCTCATTAATACACACATCTGGATCTGCTGCTAAACAGGTTCTCACCTACCTCCTCCATAGGCTCTGGCCCACTTGCAGTAAATCTAGTGCTGGGCTTCCCGCACACTAATATCCCATAGACCTATTTACCAGAAGCAGAATCCTATTCATACCTAATGGTGCACAGGTGCCGATAGTCTGACACAAGATTTTTACTGGTCTGACTGTATACATCATGGGAGATGCTGTCTTTGGAGGATGCAAGTATGGACCTGCTGGGGGGTGGAGGGCAAGTACAAATGTAAAGTTTTTAAAGGTGTACATATTTTTAAAAAAAACTTTTTTTCCAAAACACAATTAATGTCCACATGTTTGTAGGAAACATACATCCTTAAATTGCATGATCTAAGTGCTTATAGTCCACATATGTAATATAATGATGTTTTATTGCTAAATGCTAGATTTAGTTTGTGGCATTGAGTCAGTGTAATCATTTCCTTGTACTTTGTCCTCTAAGCTAGACATAGGCATTTGATTAGACCTTGTGTTTATGTATACGGTTCAATAGATCATACGTGAGCACAAAGGCTAGTCTGTCTTCGTCTTGCATTACAAGGATGAGTGTGTTCTGCATTCCTTCATAGCCATTTCAAAGAATTGTCAGACTTACATTGTGATGTTAATTTACTAAAGGATTCGAGAATGTTCACACAATAAATTGTGTGAACATTCACTGCAATTATCTGACCATGTGAAAAGAAAATCCCTGTTTACTTATTTTATCTGCACGTGATTGGATGATTGAAGTGAATAATCACACAATTTATTTTGTGAGCATTCTAAATTCCTTTAGTAAATCAGCCTCGGTATGTCAACCGGAGTGCACAGTATTTGGGCCATTGTTTTATCCTGTATATCTGTTTGTCTATCACATACAAATTCTAAAGCTGCTAATAATGATGTATTGTTTATCAGTCTACAAGATTGGCTAGGTTAGTAACTTCCATGTGTATTTAGTAAAACTTTCTATGCAGAAATAGTGACATTTTGTCCAATTTTAATGTATTAATTTTAGCTAAGATATTAACATCTTTTTTTTTTTTGTTTTGTTTTTTTAATCTGACACACTCCTGTTCATTTCCCTCAGTTTGGGTGTACTGGTGGTATAATTCCATCATCTAATAGAGTGGAGTGTTTGCTCTGGATATGGTACAATCATTTAGAAGTAAACAGTAACGCACAACCAGTTAAATGTGATAGCAGTGTCTGTGTCACACCTAGGAGGGCACTGCTTAAAAGAAACCTGTCTTGAGAGAATCATGGGAGCTGCCATTGCTGACCATTCCAATTCAGAGATGATTTGACGATCTACAGCTGAGTGATACAAATAAGATACATTTTTTCATAGTTCAGGTACTTGAATGCATTTTTAAGATTCAATTCCTGAGTTTAGTGTCAAAGGTGGCAATGCATGGTGGGAGAGGACCTCATACTCCTGGAAGATCATCTTTTCCCAATATGCACATCCATTGTTCAGTGCGCATTAGGAGATATGAAGTTGTAACTGGGAGCTCAAGGTTTCATATATTTTTTTGCAAGATGAACAGAGGATCAGATGAATAAAAAATGAGAAGCTGACACACAATGATGGTCCACTGCTAGAGGTTGTTTTCCTATAGGGGAACTGTGTGACTGCTATATGCCATAATATCTACCTATATGGTGGACTTTAATTGCCCTTGAGGGGATGACCCCTAGTCTGCAGTCCTGTGATTTCTGCGTGTACCATCTTCTCAACTATATTGGAGCAGCTACTTGTGTAGAGTTGTTAAAATCAATGGTGATTGGACTTCCTTAGTTCCTAGGGCATAACCACACCAGAGCTTTTCATGCCAGTGATGGTTTAGAAATCACAGAGTGGAAATTTCTCTTGGAGCCTGTAATCTCTCATAAACTCTGTATGAAAGTTATTTGGAAATGATCCCATCACGTATTCATTTTTCTTTAGAAAAAGATCCTCGTAACTGATGTAATGGCAGTCATAAAAATAAATATGAGAATGTGGGCTGGCATTCTGGCCCTTATAATTCTAGTTTCCTGTCTGTCTTCAATGGGAAATCCAGGAAAAAGTCAAAATTCCTTCTCTCTTTAATGAGGTCAGGTTCAGACATATAGAAGGCATACAGTTCGGCAAGTAGCATTTTCAGAAGGAGAGGTCAGCAATAGCAGTCATTTTGTTCACTCATGACAGGTTTTTTTTGTTTTTTAAGGGCCCATTCACACTTGAGCATTGCAGCAACATGCAGTAAAACACATATGTTTCGGTAATGCACCTGCTCTATGTGCAGTGTGTTGCAGCTCCATTCTTTGTGAATGCCCCTCTAACGCACTGATCAGTAGAGTACAACACACGTGTTGTGGTGTACTGTGTGGCTTAAAGAGAGTCGTGCGTTTTTTGATCTATTATGGTATATTGACAGCCCGTTCATAATAAATGGGCTGCCGTTATGCAATGCACGTTAACAAGCACTCATTGACATGACATATAATAAATTGCTAAAGTGTGAATCGGCCCTCAAACAGCAGTAATAAATGCTTCTCGTGTAGCCTGACATCTATATGTTTGATAATGTTGCATTTCATCTCCTGCTATAAGAAACTAGTTATAAATGTAGTGGAGACAAATGTTGTAACACTCAGTTTAATCAATATCTATATCCCAAGCAATAAACCCTACCCATGAACAAAGTGTTAATGATTGAGCAATAGTGAATCATTGCAGCCTTTGCCTCCACTTTTTTGTCACTCTAGCAGTATGAGTTGGTTGTAGACACTCCCGGCTGAGACTTCATCAGAACATATTATTTCTACAGACTAGTCTTTCTCATTGTTCGAGGGATTATATTTTTCAAAAATGTTTGCAGTACATTTGATATCATTTTGGTTTACAAAGCTGAAGGAGGATCAACTAAAAAAGGTAAGATATTTAATCACTTACCAGGTAATATATCATGAATGGAAATCCGGCTCTATCTTTGCTGCCTTTAGACAATATTTCTGCATTCCCTTGATACTCGGGGTAGTATGCTGCCATGGATTGGTACCAGAAAAGGAAAACTAGGTGTAAGTATAATACAATTTTCTGTTTTACCGGTGCCGACATGGTAACATTATACCATATGTATGCTGCTGTGGTTTGGTGCCAGGAATAGAAAATTACGGGTAAGTATGATGCAATTTTCTGTTATGTGCAAAAAACCTCATTCAGTAAACTCATTTTACAAAGTGAACATCTTTTATTCCTTTAGTAAATGAACCCCAATATGCT